AATTTATTCAAATTATTGTAGACAAAAATGCAACCATGCGCCACAACCCATGTTTTTCGTGTTTGCAAATTCTTGCGGGCAAAATTTTTTCCAGCAAGAATTTGCTACTTCTCTCCAAGAGAACGGTCACTTTGCTCCCACAATTTTTGAGTGTTGGATAATTTTTTGGTCTGCACGAACGCGATTTGCGCAAAAATCGTGATAATTCGTACAAATACGTACAAATTTTTTGCTCGACGAACAATCCTATTAGCTCCTTGCCATTTTAATTGAATAGCTCAGCTGAAAGGCCGTCAGCTCAAGCAGCGAAATGGCGCCAGAAGAAGGTTCGATCTTTTCAGGCCAAATTTGTATTTACCACCTCTACTCTGAAAAATTCTGCGAAATGAGGAAATACCCGTCAAACAACAAAAATGATATTCAAAAGCAGGCGAGACGTCGCAAACCGGTATGCGAGGAAGAGTATGCTTCGTACTTTTTGCGGTCTAGATTTTTCAGCGCTTGAAGACGGCCGGCAAAATAAGTCGATTTGAAAAGCAGCGAAATCGGCAGTACTACCGCATCGAAATTCAAGTCCCTAAGGGCCGTTTTGACCATCTCTGGTTAACACTAATCTCCAGTTAAACATCATTACCGACGTTGTCGACACAATGTTATATGCATGAAGTCAGTAACGTCGGTAACGATGTTTAACTGGGGATTAGTGTTAACCAGAGATGGTGAAAATGGCCCTAAGTCGATGTTCAGACACGAAAACTTTTGTTGTGGTACACGAAACTTGTCGGGGTCATGATTCAATAATACAAGGTTAGATAATTATTGACAGCTGCGGTTTGACACTCAATTACAAAAGGTTGCATTTACGAAGGACAGAGAAAAGGCAAGAATGCAATCCCTTGTTTCGAAAATGGTAGTAGAAAAGTACGCAAAGTAGGCAATTAGTAGTGAAATTCCTTTCGTAAATTCTAATGTATTTGCAGGAAATCTGGCATTTTAAACGAAATGTTGAACGTAATATTGATATATCTACGTGAATTACGGAATTTATATGCTATTTAGCCGCATAAAAACTGCAAAATGACTCAAAATTAAAATAAGACCACTATGAGATTGATGTAAACATCCAATGCTTACGTTTTCATCAGTTAAATATGCTTCATATGCATGTACAAATAAACACATTGCACAAAAGCTTATACTTTTATTTCACACCAAAGCTACACTGTTTCCATGTAAATTTGCAAAGAAGCAACACGGTGCCACTGCTAAGGGAGCGGTGCGAGAGAGACAACTGTCAGTTTATCGAACCTTGTATTATTGAATCATGGTCGGGGTGAGCGACGAGGTTAGTCTAGGTTCAGACAGAGAAACTTTTGTAGCGGCAACTCGTTACTTGTGGGAGGGGAAGGGACGAGAAAGGGGGAAGGGCACCGAGTTGCTCTCGTTCNGTTTAACTGGGGATTAGTGTTAACCAGAGATGGTGAAAATGGCCCTAAGTCGATGTTCAGACACGAAAACTTTTGTTGTGGTACACGAAACTTGTCGGGGTCATGATTCAATAATACAAGGTTAGATAATTATTGACAGCTGCGGTTTGACACTCCCTTACAAAAGGTTGCATTTACGAAGGACAGAGAAAGGGCAAGAATGCAATCCCTTGTTTCGAAAATGGTAGTAGAAAAGTACGCAAAGTAGGCAATTAGTAGTGAAATTCCTTTCGTAAATTCTAATGTATTTGCAGGAAATCTGGCATTTTAAACGAAATGTTGAACGTAATATTGATATATCTACGTGAATTACGTAATTTATATGCTATTTAGCCGTATAAAAACTGCAAAATGACTCAAAATTAAAATAAGACTACTATGAGACTGATGTAAACATCCAATGCTTATGTTTTCATCAGTTAAATATGCTTCATATGCATATACAAATAAACATATTGCACAAAAGCTTATACTTTTATTTCACACCAAAGCTACACTGTTTCCATGTAAATTTGCAAAGAAGCAACACGGTGCCACTGCTAAGGGAGCGGTGCGAGAGAGACAACTGTCAGTTTATCGAACCTTGTATTATTGAATCATGGTCGGGGTGAGCGACGAGGTTAGTCTAGGTTCAGACAGAGAAACTTTTGTAGCGGCAACTCGTTACTTGTGGGAGGGGAAGGGACGAGAAAGGGGGAAGGGCACCGAGTTGCTCTCGTTCGCCTGAGTAATTCTAGTTGCCCGTTCACAACTGACAACAACTATTGTGTACAAAAGAATTGTTCTGTGTGAACGCGAAGGGCAAAACCAAAAGAGAAGTTGCAGAAAATTAGCAACAAAAGTTTCTCTAGTCAGAGGGGACTGGTACCGAGTTGCTTCTACTCGGGCAACACACTTTGTATTCTCGTTCATCTGAGAAATTCAAGTTGGCGGTTCACAGCTGACAACAATAATTGCGTAGAAAACAGTTCGTGAATGCAAAGGGCAACACCAAGAGAAATCGCCGATAATAACCAACTGGAGTTTTCGTGTCTGAACACAGACTAATCGCAGAAGAACAATCGGTAATAGAGACCCCACGTAAGCACATCTCTAATAATATTTGTAAATTTTGTGGGACAGAACTTTGACAAAATTGGTATATTTGCTAGCAAAAAGCGACATATCCGTTTTCCCTTACTTAAAAAAAACTATATTAAATATGGGTGAAAGGTATAACATCCATAGCCAGTTGGAACATTTGCAAAGTAAATACATCGGTACTGGGCATGCAGACACAACAAAGTTTGAGTGGCTCACCAATCAACACCGGGACTCCCTCGCTAGCTATATGGGACACTACGACATGTTGAATTATTTCGCTATTGCAGAAAATGAGTCCAAAGCCAGAATCCGATTTAATTTAATGGAACGCATGTTACAGCCGTGTGGACCACCGCCAGAGAAAGCAGAAGACTAGTTTACTTACAGAATGTTTGATTTTTTACTGAATAAATTTTGGATTAACAAGAAAGGAAATAACTTGCACTATTACAGGACTCTTGTTTGACAACCAAGATTAAATTGAGTCAAGATAAAGTAAGAAATTTTTTGGCAGATATGACGCTTATATGTTGAATCTTTTTTTATGCACAATAGTATTGTTGAGTTTTTTGGGTTGGATTCCGAATAGTATCTGTAGTTCGAGGCTTAGGAATTGAACGACGTGATCCTCTGGCTTTAGGACTCCTGTTGTTGTAACAGTGTACAAATTCCCACAGAGTTTTTGCGGAGAGTTGCTGTAGTGACAGTCCTTGCCCAGATACAAATTTGGTCGTTACATAGGCAAGACTGTTGTGGGCGAGCTTGGCTGTTTTCCAAAATGCATTAATACAATGCAAAAGCACTACATTTGCGTACCTAATTGCAAATTTACACTTTTTCCTTGGTTTCCTTGGTTGGTTGGAGAATTTTTCTTCCGTCAGTAAGTAAATACACGGAAACAAGTGAACCGGTTCGGGGAAAATGAAACTCGTGATAAAATTTTATATTTTATGATTAATAAAAGGTACTAATACTTTGTTTTGATTCGTTTTGGAAAACATCCCCTATTATCACATCTATTCTTATTCCGGGGTATCGCTGAGTGCAGCAGGGGGCTACTCTGTAATGCGATACGACAGAGGAATTCGATGCAATAGGCAACCTGCCGTGTTTGCGCGAACGCGAATCATTTGTTTTCGCACAGCTTTACAGAGTTTTCCCCCTATGGCAGAGTTTCCAGATCGTGCATCTTTCTGCTGGTGTTTACTCCCAACAAAACCAAATCTTTTTTAGACATTACGTCAGACAACCTAACGGGAAAAATCCATGTTTGTATTTGGCCAAGGACTTACTTTTACAGGTCTATTCTGCACGTTACCGAAGATTTTGTAACCGGAAAATTGTATTACCAAAAAATGTTACCAGTTCTTGTCACCGCGATTCTAGGAACGTTGGTAATGCAGTTAAAGTATTCAGCAATTCAGCTATGAAGAATTGTGCAAATTCTGGCATTGCATATATCCAGCTTATGAGATGGTAACAAAATTTGCCGGTTACAAGAGTACACAGAATGCAAAAAGGGTTTAAAAATTGACAGGAACTTTATTTACCGGTTAGGTCGGTGTTATGCAGACAAACTTTTGTTTGCCAAATTAAATGGCGGCTGCTTAGTTTGCTCGGAGGTGGTTATGTCGAGTTTGGCACAGGGTTGCACGTTCATTATGGTTTTCATGGCTATTGCCAACACGAAATGAGAATTTCAGATGTACATAACGCGCAAAATTTAAAATTTTTGTATATGACAACACCGAATTTGCTGCAGTTTGACCAAACAAAATTAGTTTGCTGTGAGAGTCGTCAAACTCGCTCTCTCCGAGTTTGCTGCAACAACAATTGCACGCAGTTTGCCAAACAAAATTTCTGCATAACACCGACCTTACAAACTTTGTATTACCAGCGCAGAATAGACCTGTTAGTAGCATTCCTCAAAAGGCTTTAGGCAATTTCTATGGTGTTGCAACAACAATAATTTTTCTCTTTTTACGTGGCTTTAATATAAAATTTTTAGTTAAAATTAATANTATTACCAAAAAATGTTACCAGTTCTTGTCACCGCGATTCTAGGAACGTTGGTAATGCAGTTAAAGTATTCAGCAATTCAGCTATGAAGAATTGTGCAAATTCTGGCATTACATATTTCCAGCTTATGAGATTGTAACAAAATTTGCCGGTTACAAGAGTACACAGAATGCGAAAAGGGTTTAAAAATTGACAGGAACTTTATTTACCGGTTACAAACTTTTTATTACCAGCGCAGAATAGACCTGTTAGTAGCATTCCTCAAAAGGCTTTAGGCAATTTCTATGATGTTGCAACAACAATAATTTTTCTCTTTTTACGTGGCTTTAATATAATATTTTTAGTTAAAATTAATGCTTTATTTAAAATAATATTACATTATCGCGTGAAAAATTTGCATATTTTACAATTAATTTACACGAAAATTTATTTAATTGAATGCATTACTATATTTTTTGTGATTGCAAGATACATACATATATATTTCGAGGAAGAACTTAAATAGTTTAATATTCTACTTATACGCATACATACACATGCATCTATATATGTATATAAATTTAGCACATGCTAATACATATTATATTAAAAAGCTTAAAAAGTGGGCTAATTAGTTTTGTTCGTTGAATTTTTTTTGATAGCTCTTTAACTTTAAAAACTTAAACCAACTTGCTAAATAAACACCGCATTGTTTAGAACGAAAGCAAAAATTATTAACAAGAGTAGACCAATGATGGAAAACTTGTGTGCGATGGCAATCAAATCTTGCTAATTAATCGTTTTTAAAATTTGCTGACCATGTACGTATGTAACTGTTAAAGTGACATATGAACATATATATGTACATGTTTACATAAAGATTTTTTAGTTAATAAAACGATTGTAGGGCAGAAAGCTAAATACAGAGTGCTTATACACGTGAGCATAAGATACCCCAAAGCCATTCGTAGAACTAAAAAATAATTTTTGGCGCCTCAATTGAATTTTTTCAAGGTATTGCTTACCTATTTACTTGGAAAACCTTAACCATTGGTAATTATTTGTTACTTACGTATTTTTATTTGTAGATTTCTGCCAAGATACATACTTAGCTCATTGTCGATCTACATACGTACATAAAAAAAAGAAACAATTAAATGGAGTTTAGAACAATAATAAGTCATTGCCTCATTATGCTGTTGGCGTTTCTTCATTGTGACCTTAAACAAAGCTTGAGTTAACAAAATAAAAGATGTAAAAGCTGAAAATCGAGACGAGAACGTGACGATCTCAGGGTTTTCCTTTAAACGTGCCAAACCCACAAGAAAAAAAACATTGTGCTGCTAAGTACGATCACCGTTTTATGACGTGTTTTAATGTATGAGCACCCGTGGAACTCACTGATGTTCTCCATTTTCGGAATTGCCCTTACATCACCGTTTAAAGAATTTTTTCTTGTGAAATTGTACGTAATACTATTCTCTCTTATACGTACATACATAATGTACGTTATATTGTGCCATTAGTAGCTCTAACCCAATACTTTTCGTGCAAAATCGTCTAAAAATGTCAAACAGGAAAATTACTCTCTGAGCTGAGAGTAAAAAGTGAGTAACAACAAAAAGTACGGGAACAAAAAAAGCATGTTTCCTGTAAAAACGTCAACCAGTGATCGCTTGAAACTTTTCATGATATTACCAGAAGAAAAATTTCGGGTAAAACCTTGCAACTTCATTCTCTACTCAACTCCACAAGTTCGTGGAAAAACCTGTAAATTCATGGAGTACTGGATCAGAGCTAGTAATTTTATTTTTCAAATTCATTTAAAACTAAAGTAATTGCATTGCTTATATTAATACTTTTAACTTATCTTTTTCATACGACATATTGCCTCGAGAAGCCTTATGCATAGCTTTGTTTTCGACGTGCTGAAGTTTTGTTTCTTTGAATAGGGCTCTTACTACCATCCTTACTACCTATTCAAACTGCGTATTAAACATATTGATATTTAAGTCCTCGAAAGTAGTTGTGCCACTTTGATCCAGCATTTGTAGCATATCGGAGAACTCTTGGCCCTGTGGCTGACCAGCTTGCACATGTGCTCCGTGGACGGCATGTGGTCCGTGATTGGCGTGAGCAGCGACATGCGCTGCATGTGGATGTTGAGCTTGAGCGGGATTTTGCCACTCGCCCCACATGCCGGCCGCATTAGTGGGTGGTGGTGGCGCCGCTTGTGCGCTGCTGCCGGTGTGGTAGGTTGCCTGTCGTGCATTACCAGCACTCAGTTGTGTGTAAGTGGGGCCACTGGGGGAGCGTGCTGGACTGGTTTGATTGTATTGGTAGCCCTCGGATACGGCCTGTTGTTGACGTAGGTTTGTCCAGGTCGCTGCAGCGGGTGTTGGTGAACTGTTGGCTTTCGGAATTTTTGCCATATGTGCAGTGTTCGGCGAAGGACCCCCCGCAGTTGGTGGATAACCACCCAAAGGCGAATGTGTTGCATCATAATTATAAGTTACAGGATTGTGTGCAGAACCAGGTCGAGCTACGTTGTTAGCTTGGGCTGTGAGTGCAGCTTGTGGCGGTATGTGCGAACCGATCATGCCGTGTGCACTGTACATGCCGTCAGCAGTAGTAGCGGATGAAGTGACATCTCGACGTGCCTGCAATGTGTAATCAACGCCCGGCGCTACGTAAACGTGTTCGGCATTCGACTGATCTGGAGTGTTGGAGTCGTGTGCAACACTAGAGTGAAGTGTCTTTGCCGAGCTATTGGTGCATACAATGTATTCGACTTCTTCGGTATAGGGGTTTAGAAATGCATTCGCATGTGTACGTATCCAAACGTATTCACCACTTTTGGTGCGTGCACGATACATTAAAGAGAAATTTCCCTTCTGCTTTAATACTTGATCAAAGCTGTCCTTCACGTTCATCTGATCTTCTGCATGGCAAAAATCATAGCAGATCTTTCCGAGTAAATCAGTTGGCGTATAACCAAGCACATTCATGACGCGCTGATCGACAAAAGTGAATTTGCCGTCCATTGCATGGCGCGTGATGAACTCAGATTGATTATTCGAGTTGGTCATGTCATTAGAGGCTGTTGAGGTCACTTGCAGTCGTCCAATAGCCACAAGACAGCAATGTGATGAGTGCATATCATCGTCTACGGGCCGTTCCATATGTACCCCAGGGAACATATCAGTTGGTGGCCAATTTTTAATATATCCAGTGCAATGCACTACTGCATAATTAGTGCCATCGCGTGACGGTCCCAATGAATTCCTTTGCTTCAAACGATTTAAATGTCCCGCAACCATAGTTTCAGGATTTACGTTTCCTACACGCATGCGGCAAATGAAACCACGACGTGCACCCATACTAAGCCGCATTGATGATTGGTGACCTTCTTTCTTTACTGTGCCTGTTTTAAGGTCAAGTATTCGACCTGCATTTTGTGATTCTTGTGTCGACAATTGTTCACGAATTTTTTCGCGATCATCAGGGTGGATGTGCTCATACAAACTGGTGCCGTACCAATCGCTCTGCGTATAGTTTAATACAGGAGTCACTGAATCTGAAACATAAATGACACGACCGGAATCGCATGAAACTACAAATAAAAATCCATCTGCTGCTTCTAATATCAAATGTTTCAGTTCCTGGTCAGTAAGGAATGATGGCTTGTATGTGCCATCGCTGCTAGTATTTCCTGTGCCACGTAGAGCCTTCATATGTGCCACAGCCATGCGTAGAATGGTCAACTTGTCAGGCTTTCTAGCAAGAGCACTGCATGTTGGCACCATATCCGATAGTTCAGTAATATAGGCCGTCATTTTGTTACGGCGACGTCTTTCGATCTCACAATGATTTTCCCGACTCGCGAACCGTTCCTTATCCTGCATATTGGCTTCATCCATGACTGGAATATTTAATGAGTACACCGCCGGTTAGACTATCTGCTATTGGTTCTTTCTTATTTGGGTCGATTGCTGTCGTTGTAGCAGCGTTTGCTTCTTTATACTGCACTATGGTTGTTTTTGTGTACTTGCTGCGGACAAACTGAAGGTGCACCACTTTGTCTACGTAGTAGAAAAAACCAACAAAATTCTTGGAAACCAATGCGAGTTGAGTGAAGACCAAATATTAACAAACCGTCGACCAAATTCTAGACAAGAAATATTTGCATACTTTTCGCATGTTTTTAAATTGCTGTTTATTTGTTGAAAAAACAATTTTTANAAAATTCTTGGAAACCAATGCGAGTTGAGTGAAGACCAAATATTAACAAATCGTCGACCAAATCCTAGACAAGAAATATTTGCATACTTTTCGCATGTTTTTAAATTGCTGTTTATTTGTTGAAAAAACAATTTTTGCACGAATTTACACGAAAATTTCTACAAGAAATGTGTACAAATGTTTACAACAAAACCTGACTGTACACGGTAGTAGACATCCAAAATGCTGCCACTGTGTTTAAATGAGGAATCTGCAGCAGTGACTTGAGGGGAAAATAAAATAAATATGATATCTGAGATATTAAATATTTTTTCAATAAAAAGTTAATTATTTAAATGTTAAGTTTATGTAACAAATGCAACAAATTCTGAACAAAAGGAGAGTTTGACGAAACATCTATTAATTAAATACAGGTGGCAGCGTCTAAAATTTAGCATCCAATATGTTCCACTTACATATGAAATGACAGCTAGAGTGCTGCCAGCTTACACGCATTTTCCATTTTCAAATCGGCACAGTGAGAAAAAAATTTGAATTCAAGAATGATAGAATAAAAGATTGCGCATTGCCGAAGGCGAAGTCATTTCTCAAGTAAAAGTAAACAAAGCAGGATACGAGGATAACAAAATATGTCAGAAGGGTTGATTTACTGAGTGGCGTTTTTATTTTTTCTCTCTGACGTCAGGATTTATTTTAAAGGACTTTGTAATTTCAAAGATATTTAAAAAATTCAATGCAATGTAAATTAAAAATATAGATACCAAATGCCAGAGAGAATTTGTTTAGAATTTAAAAAATTAAAATTTTTTGGATTAAGAATCAAAAATTTTGTACGCCCAAGTATTATAGACATTTTATTTTATTATATTATATGTAGTTTATAGATGAATTATATTATTATATTTTTACAAATCATATGTTTTTGAGAAAAGTACACCGTAGTAATTTAAAAATTTCAAAATTACATTTCTCGACTGAAAAATGAGATATTCGAGCAAACCCGACGGCACACAGTGTGCTTTTATACCACTTCATCCCAATTAAGCGTAGCGCTTTCAACAGAAGAAAATTCAAGGAAAAATATTACCATTGAGCCACAGCCACTCCTTGACCTTAAAAAAATTGGACAAAAATAGTGTTCTTTGAAAAAAAGAGCATGCAAAATCCAATGGATATATTTAAAAAAAAAAAACAATTTTTGGATTTTTTATTATACTAATATTAAAGATTTTGAGACGAGAAACACTATTCCAAAAATTTCAACCCCTTAATTTGAAAAATGCCTTATATATTGCATTTTTCATTATTTGCATGCAGTTGTGCATCCTTCACACAATTTGTATCCCTCGAACAACAAGTCGGTTTTTGTGCTATTCAAGAACTTTAATTTCAGCCAAGGTAGAAGTCTCTAGGCCCTTTGAGAGCTAAGTTATTCTAAAGTTAAACTTCGGAATTTCATTCGACATTTTACGCTTTTTTTCTGGTTTCGGAGTAAAAACTAGTACAGCAGTTCGGAAGTTTGGTTTAAAGTTGTTATAACTTGGCTCTCAGAGGGCCTAGAGACTTCTACCTTGGCTCAAATTAAAGGTCTTGAATTGCACTTATTGTTCTAGGGATATAAAATTGAGCGAAGGATGCACAGCTGCATTCAAATAGAAAAAAATGCAATAAATAATACATTTATTAAATTAAGGTGTTCAAATTTTTCTTCGAATTTTGTTGCTCGTCTCAAAATCTATACTACTGGTATAACAAAAAATGCATAAAAGTTTGGTTTTTGAATAAATCCCGTGTATTTTTCTGCTTTTTTTTCGAAGAACACTACTTTTGACCAATTTTTTTAATGTCAAGTGATAATTGTGGCTCAGTGGCCACCACAATTGAAAGGGATTTCAAAACCACTTTGTTTCGTATCAAAATGCAGCTTCTGTCGGAAGCGCTACGATTAATTCGAGTGCAGTGTTCAAAAAGCACACTGTGCGGCTTATGAAAGGACAATAGGTGTATGTATTTTAAAATGCCGTGCATATTTTTCAGATATGAGTTCAGCGACAATCCGGCCCTGCCTGGCTGCTCTCTTTAGGATTCGCGCCCCTTTTTCATTTCCTTCTACTAAGTCAAGAATAACGGCTTGGTGGTTACTGTGTGTGTAGTGTTCGCTTCATTTAATGTCCCTAGTCAGTATGTTACTCGAAAACGTGAGGTCGATGATAAACTCTTTACTGTTCCGGCGAAAAGTCCTGATTCCCCCACAGCTAACCAGCGCTAAATCTAGCGAGGAAAAGGTTTGTAGTCGGTCGTTGGAATTATTGGGTGTCTATCTATTACGGATTCCACTACATTATCCAGAAGCTGTTGGAATTCCTCGTGAGTTCAGCTAGGAAGTGCATAACTGCTACATATCTGGTATCATTTGATTTGAACCCACAAAATTTCTAGAAATTAGATATAAGCGGCGAGAGAGACTACCCTTTGGAACCCCCTTTCATTTTTCTGGGNTTCCTCGTGAGTTCAGCTAGGAAGTGCATAACTGCTACATATCTGGTATCCTTTGATTTGAACCCACAAAATTTCTAGAAATTAGATATAAGCGGCGAGAGAGACTACCCTTTGGAACCCCCTTTCATTTTTCTGGGGTTTGACGTTTTATCTATCCTACTGACTTACCCTGTTTACGTCGGTGAAATCCAAGTGGCCTATTCGATGCCGGTGTCTGGTACCACGAACTAACATATCCCATATCGTGGCGAACTCTCCATTATGGGAAGTATTCCCGTGAGGACTAACTGTTGGAGAAAATAAAATTTCTCCATCCACCCTGCAACTAAAGTCGCCAGGCACGATTTAGACGACGTGATGGGGCAGCGATCGTACGCTCTTTTAAAATGATCTGGAAACGGTCCAAGGTCTCATCGTCCTTCTCCTCTGTCAGAGCGTGTGCACAAATTAAGCTGATATTGTGGAACTTAACTTTTAGGCGGATTGTGGCAATTCGTTCACTTCTGAGGGCGAATCTGGAGACAAGACCCTGTTAAACCACAAATCCTAAACCGAATTTTTACATCGTATCAGGGTAGCTGTATTAGATGTGTCACACAGNGCGGATTGTGGCAATTCGTTCACTTCTGAGGGCGAATCTGGAGACAAGACGTCGGAGTCCCTGTTAAACCACAAATCCTAAACCGAATTTTTACATCGTATCAGGGCAGCTGTATTAGATGTGTCACACATCCATGCGCTGTCCATCACATTCCATAAATTGCGGTGATGCAGCGTTGTATTTTTCTGCGAAATCCAGTTGGATGGAGTCACCTTCATTAGGACAATCCGGGCATTGCAGGTGCATATCTATATCTTTGTTTAGTTTTCGATGGTCGTCAACATATGGATAATTATTTTTTAGTGAGCTTTTTTTTAAATAAGCGGCGGGTTCCAAATCCGGCGTAAAACCTATTACTGAGATGGTTTTTTGAAAACTGAAGCACATTTAAAATGCTAGCCATTGCTACTGGTGAGTGGACGCTGCGGACTGGTATGGATACATACATACACGAAAAACATTACTTGTCACTAGAAGAAAATTTCTTAAGCTGAGGACAACGGCCTTAAAATGAGCCCATGGACATGCATTACTTTGTTAAAAAAAATTGACTAAAGTCACAAAATGTTCTATATCAATTATTTCCTTTGCAGTACACGTAGGTCACGAATAGAAGGCGCATAGTGTTACCATAGTTTGACACTGTGCAACCGTTTCGTGTCTCTGTTGCATCTCATCAGACATCACTAAGGTCGGCCAGAAACGATGACCTCAGATTCCGCAGCCTGCTTCTACACAGTGCGGCAAATTTACACAGGAGATATTAGATAGTTTCCTCCTCTTCGTAGTTCTTACAGCTACTGCATTATATTCGGAAAGGCATGCAANGTCTCTGTTGCATCTCATCAGACATCACTAAGGTCGGCCAGAAACGATGATCTCAGATTCCGCAGCCTGCTTCTACACAGTGCGGCAAATTTACATAGGAGATATTAGATAGTTTCCTCCTCTTCGTAGTTCTTACAGCTACTGCATTATATTCGGAAAGGCATGCAACCCCTTTCTGCATCTTTTCCTATTAAACAGTGCCCGGTTAGAGCCCCCCAACGTAAGGTGTATCCTCTATCCTCGAAGAGTAGACGCTTCGTGACTGTTTCTCATCTCATTTAAGTCACGTCTGCCTGAAAATTCAACAAGTCGTACTTTGATTCTCCAGCTTGTTTGTATCCAAATTCTCAGCTCAGAGCTTTGATTGCAGCTATCACTAAAACAGAACAAGCTTCTCTATAGCCTCCCTGATAGCTGAAACCTTAGTTTGGAATATGCTCCAGTAGTCTAGTAACCTAAAAGTAATTTCGAGGAGGGTTTCGTGAAAAGACATCTCCTCCCACCTTACCATAGAGATTTAAGCATTCTGTATAATGTCCTTTTAAGCTTATGTTCTTCTATCATCTCAGATGATTTCTTAAAAAAAAAATTTTAGAAAGTAATTTTATTTATAAAAAACTTGATTTTTAGAGGTCTTTTCAAATTGTTCCAGCAGCGGATTCCAACATTTGCTATCGCCAATTTTGATCACGCAACACGCAACGCGCAACATCTAGTTACATGCCCCCGATTCTGCCAGATTTGGCTGATTACACACTGCTTTTCATTTAGAGAATTGTAGCGACAAAAATTTAGCATGTCGATTGCCAGATATGAACTGCAGCTGACGGAAATCTTAGCGAAAGTTTTTAAATATAATAGTTTTAATAATTCCGACGGAAAACCCGCGAGGCACTCTTATGTACATACTCCCGTACACAATAAGTAGACAATAAGGAACGTTCCTATAAAGATGTTGTGGCATTCCACACCACATTCTCAATCCAGTCTAGATACAAATTTACCTTCGTATTAATGCTCGGAATGTCGGCAGTGCCACATATCTCGTATCCAAAGGAAGTTATCGCGGCCAACTGCAGCATACAAGGATAACTCGGATGTGGCACATACAATGGTCCACCGGAGTCACCGTAGCACGTATCGAAGCCACTCTGATGACTACCAGCACAAATTTGCGTCCGCACCCTTACGCCCCATTCCAACTCTGTTTGGGCCGTCACAGATGCTGTACACTCATCTCCGGCAAACAAATCTAATTTCACCTTCAACAAATGCGTAGATGATATCTTTTTTTCAGTTTCACCCCAACCAACAGCTGTGAAGCTTTTATATATCGCATCCTTTGAGGGCAAGCAGGCGGGCAGGACATACTCATTCAGTGTCGCATCGCGATCCAATTCAACTAATGCGATATCATTGTAACGCTCAAAATAATACATTGGATGTACAATAGCATTGCGCACGGTAAAATCTTGGGTTTGAGTGCCATCGGTTGTAGTGCTGTGATCTAGTTCACCCAGTCGTATGACATTAATTTTGCTGACAATGGAGGAAAACGGGTGATTTTATGTGTGTGTGTGGGGTCTTAAGTAATTGCTGTGCATGAAGCGGGTACCTACCGTCGCCAACAATGTGCCGCGGAAATTACAAAGCGCTCACTTATCAAAGTACCGCCACATTGCCACTCTATCTGGCCGCTAGCCTGGTCCTTCGATCCCAGCAACGCAATCGATTGAAATTCCTTTGGCGCGGCCCTTTCGCCACCATATATCAGTGCTTGTGGACAAAAGGGGGGCGCTAGTTTCTGATACTCGAAACAAGCTGGAAAATAAAAGTTTTCGTCAGAATATTTTTAAGGGTTCTTAATGTGTATCAGCGGTTTTACCCCTTTCTGCATAAGTGGTTGGTTCGCTGTTTCCCAAACGAGTATCCAATGCAATCCCCGGCCGAGGACAGCAAACTATGCCAAATACTTTGTTGCAAAAAGGTATCGAACTGGTATCCATGGTTGCAAGGTGGGTGAAAATGTCAGGACAATATTGCAGCTCTTTACATTCACCCACCGCATTGTCACAGACTTTGGTAGAAAACATTTTGGAAAAAAGAAAGAAAAACCAAAGGGTCAGTTAATACACTTAGCCAGCTTTCAAAACTTCAAATCGGAGCCTGAATCGAGATCTGGAGCTTAGATATGTATATTGGAAATAACTTGAAGAAACTTTACTGCTCTCTTAAAGAAGGAGCATCGATGTACAAACTTTCGTCATGTTTTGCCAACCATGGCTTCGGCGTTTTTGAAATTCATTCAAATTTACACCGATGCTTATACTTTAACACAGCAGTAACTTGTTATGTTTCCCTGGAGATAGTAAAAGTCTTACCTGTCGAAAGTATGAACAACCAAAAACGTGTTGTTTGATCTTTAAAAGTATTATAACTTAACCGTTAAAATTATTTTTCCATTTTTCCGTCAAAATTTAACCGTTATTTGAATCCGTTAATTACCAAAGGGAACAAGTCAGCATTTTTTATATAACAATTTTGATGCAGCTCGGTCCGTTTAACCCTCATCGGTTCCCGCAAAAAATTTGTCGCATAGGTTCTTTTGCATACGTTCGTTTACAAACAGATCTGACACTTCTAATCACATTTTTAAGAAAAATTCCAAGATTGCAGTTATATAGCCCATTCAATTTTAGTATAATTAAGTGCAAGTCTGATGTTGCTAGAAAATCGCAATTTTCTCCGTACCAAATTAATTGCCGAACATACTATTGAAGAACTTGCATGAAAAAAATTGCCAAAAACCATCGCGATTTTCTAGCAAATTCAAACTTGCATTTTGTTATACCAAAATTTAATGAGCTAACTGCATACCTGGAATATTTCTTAAAAATCTTACTAGAATTGTCAGTTCTGTTTGTGTACGAGCGTATACACAACAACCGGTTTGCAACTATAGGTGCAATCCCGTATTCCTCGGACTCGGACTAGTAAAACTGTCAAAAAAAA